ATTCTCAGAAAAGTAAATTTACTTTTCTGAGAATGTTTCGGCCAGCAGAGAAGCCCTTGCTGGCCCTCAGGGTCCGCCACTGGATATGACTATATATAGTAATAAGGTCTTTTTTTTAAAGATTCATCACATGATTTTAATCATTCAATTCCTATTACATGCTTCTTGTATTGATCAAGGGGGTCAGTCGCCATTGATATGTTTATTGACATAAATAGTACACACTCACACGTATAATCATGTTAAGAGTGTCAGGTTTACTTGTGGCCCATTATATATCGGCAGGACTGAAGTATTCTGTACACATGTGTTTCTGATGGCCATAGTATTTCACAGTAATTGATATATTAATGATTAACAGTAAATTAATCTTTGCAGTGAGACTGGAAAAAAATACTCTGATATTGTGGTATGCTGTATTCATGATGCCATACGAGTACAATAAAAGTGTGACCATATTTTGATCCATTTATTTTATTGAATAAACCTGGAGTACACAGTGGCTGATGTAATTATGTTTTATTCACATTTACCCTTTAAATATTATACTTTTTAATATCAGAATTCTTGATTATGAATATCAGACAAAATAGAAAAATGGGTTCCCATGATGAACGTTTACGGAACCCAAAATTAGTTACCGTGGTTTCCCATTGGGTTATCCGACGGAACCGAAAAACGGTCACCGTGAATTTCCGAAATCCTCAAGCCTGCTACTGAATTATTTAAATTTTTGCAGCATTTGTTTATAATTGTATGTATATGTTGTTTGTGTTATTATCATATGCAATTGAATAAGTAGACCATTTCAGAATTCGAAATTTGGGACTCTCTAAATGCATCATGGGACTCATACTTTTCTGATCAGCGAGTCCCTGGGACTCGCTGGCGGTAAACTGTAAAATTATCACTGCACATGTTTGCGCTGACACACGCACAGCAGAGAGCAGCAGACTATCGACTGCTGAGTCGCGCTTCACTCGAGTGGCTACACCTTACAGTCCACGATGAAATCCTACTAAAGGGACAGAGACTCGTCATACCTTCAACCATGAGAAATGATGTTGTCGCCAAACTGCACGAAGGTCACCAAGGTGTGGTAAAGTGTAGACAGCGAGTGCGGCGGTCGGTATGGTGGCCCGGGCTGAGCCAAAAGCTAAACGAGTTGGTTCTCAACTGCCGAACATGCTGCAAGGGGAGACGGAACCACAGGGAGCCAATGATTCCATTGCCGTACCCACGCCAACCATCAGAGAAGTTGGGAGCAGATTTGTTCGTGCTTGGAAGCAAGACCTACTTGCTGGTTGTGGACTACATGTCAAAGTACGTGGAGATAGCTCTGTTGGCCTCCACAAAATCGAATGAGGTAATTCGCCACCTTAAGTCGATCTATGCACGCCACGGGATCCCCGACCTTCTGGTTTCGGATGGAGGGCCCCAGTTTTCCGGAACGGGCTTCAGGGCGTTCGCGGAGTCCTACGGGTTCCGTCACATTACAAGTAGCCCACGATATCCACAAGGAAATGCCGAGGCAGAACGTGCAGTTCAGACGGTCAAAGGCCTCTTGAAAAAAGCAGATGACATCTGGCCTTACTCACATACACGGCGACCCCTCTCGAAAATGGGTACAGTCCGGCTCAGCTTCTCATGGGGAGGAGACTCCGCACAACGGTGCCTATCCTTCCTGCCCTGCTCAACCCAGCCATCCCAGACCGAGATGCCGTTATACGGAGTGAACGGGAGAAGCGGACAAAAGATGCACAACGCTACAACACACGGCATCGGGCACGGAACCTCGTCAGACTCAACCCAGGACAGGATGTGTGGATTAAGGACCAAGGAGCGGAAGGAGCCATCATCGAAAGACATGCTTCCCCACGATCATATCTGGTGGAGGGACCCCACAGGACCATCAGATGAAACCGTCGTCATCTCATCCCAATGAGGTCCTTGCCTGAGCGGAGTGACCGTGGTGCAGCGGAACAGTTCTCGGGAAGAGTTCCAGAAAGACCATCAGCGGAACCACCACAGCCAAATCTTCCAGACCCGCCAGCTACTCCTACTACCAAGACCAGGTTTGGGAGAGTCGTGGTGAAACCAGCCAGGTTGGACTTCGGAATTTTTTTTCCCCCTCTTTCGCTTCTTCCTCCTACGTTCCTGGGACAGTTGATGAGGCTCTGCTTCGAAGGTTGTTTAAAAAAAATAAAAAAGGAAGATGATGAATGTTGAGATGTTTGTACGTGTTGTTTTGTTTCACTATACAATGCTTAGCCAGTTACAGAGCGTAGAGGAGGATCAGTTAAGTTCCTTTAGCATAGCTTAATCCTGACCCATGTGACCAACCTTTATGAAGGCATACCACCCACATCCTTTGTGGCAGCAACATTTCAAGCAAGACACCTTTGAGGTTCATGCTCAAAATTTGACCCCCCCCCACCTCAAAAAAAAGCTTTTATTTTTTTGTCGCACGTGGATAGACAATGAGGCCAACAAAGTACGTTCAGAGCAAAAGGTGTGGTTCCACACAGTTATAAACACCTTTCCATTTGTTATCAGAGAATGGGCTATTCTAAAATCAATAAAACATCAGCAGTGATCATTCAGAAAAAACAGTATCTATCATTTGCATTTTATGACCAAGCTAATATTTTGCAGGCTAAAGGTTTACGTCAGCAATATTTGTCCTCGCACAATGTCCATTGGCAAAAGTGGAGGCATATTCATTTGAAACAGTGCAGCCCTTTCCCATGTTGGAAAAGGACCTTTTTAACTCTCATTGACCCACTGACATCATCCACTAATGGTGGCTTAGGAGAGTTGAGCTTCCAAAGAGGCCCCATTATTTTTGCTGGATCCACCATCCAATTCTTTTCTATTCACTGTATACACCATTGTATGTTAATAACTGATTGTAGAAAAGAACTTTCCTAAAAATAAATGCAATCTTTTGCCTTCCTCCAACAGCACTTGATGCCCTGTGAGATTTTGTACACCAACAGCTAAAGTTAGACCTAACTGGACTATGCCATGTTAAAATACCACTTTGACCAAATTCAACAACTTGTTTTTGAATGTCAATACTGCAAAATTTCCATCCACCAGCATTGGATCCTACAATGAGTAATACTGAAGCTGGATGAGATCTCCAAAGTTTCGGGGAGGAGAAGAAAGGAGGAAAAAAAAAAAAATCACAAAACTGCATTTGAAAATTGTTTTACTGAAAGTATACAAAACTGGACAGACAAATCAATGAAAATGGATATTATTTACAAGTGTTTGAATAACAGTTGCATGCTGGTCTTGAAAGCGCATGAAAGATGTGGCTTGTCACGCTGAGGACTGGACAGAGGGCGACTGGACAGCAGTCTGCAAGTAAATAAATAAAAATGAGCAAACAAAAGCCCACAAAATTGCAGCTTCATATCTTAAAGATACGGTAATTATCAGGAGCATTTAACTGTGGTTGGCATTGATTTGTCTTGGGTGAATAAACGTGCGAACTTTTAGTCATATATAGGTTGTACCAAAATGCGTAGTTTGATCATGTTAGAGGTTGAGTGTAAGCCACATTTTACAGAAGAAAAAAAATATCCTCTCCAGGGAACAGACATTTATCTTGATTAGGAGGGTTCGAGAGGTGGGGAAAAACCCAATTGCTTTAATTGAGCGTCATCCGAACCAAGTTGGCACCGTCCACAGCATGATTAGCAGCGCTAGCTTCAGCGTATTGCAGAATACAAGGCTAAGACTCGCCTCCTTTGATTTTTGCTCCTCAATTCCATTGTTGGCACTAGAGTCTCCACTGCCATTAATTGTGGCTTCCTGTTTGGCCTGCTTAGCATCAGTGTCCTTTACTGGGCTGTTCTCCTCTGCTTTCCTCTGTGTAGAAATATAAATAAAAGGTGGGGAAGGAAGACAAGACTGAAAAGCCTCACAACTGCATTCCACGTTGATTTTAGTGAGAGACAAACTCAATCTGGCCACAAAGCCGTAGCCAGTGAATGCATCACACATGCACCGCAAAGCAAGACAAGGAAGCACTGCTACGAGGCAATCACACAACTACATTTCCCCAAACAGCACAAGTCTCAGAACCAACCACAGCACAATAAAAAGCCACTGACAAGAATCTGATGGCTCTGAACCTTGTTAAGGGGGGGTGGAGATCGTGAAACATAAGTACCAGTTTCCCTTCAATTTATACATAAAAACATGTCAGGTCAAGTTTTGGCAATACGATAATTATCATCTCACCTTTTTTCTGACGAGGTGAGAGATGTCTGAGGCCACTTTCAAAGATGATCCACCATCATCTGATTTCACTGGGATCTGCGTTCAAGATTGTTTTGGGTTGTTCAATTTGGCATGAATTAGAATCAACAGATTTACATTTCACGCAGAAGGCATCACCCTTACTTGTGAGGTGGCAGCAAAGGCTGAACAAGGGTTGCCATTTTCACTCCGGGATGCCGAGGAGGTTGAAGCACCACCCTGCAGGAGGTTATTTACCAAGTTAGATGGATGATAGGGCTGGAAGATAGCTTTTGGGGTCATAATTAAAAAAAAAACAAAAAACAAACAAAAAAAAACTGTAAATCTGTACTTGCTTCCCAGTAATTCTTGATAAACAGCATTTCTGAAAAATAGCTCGTCTTGAGTTTTAAATTGCTTCATACATCAGCTGCAAAATATGGTATCATATTCTATGGCAATATTTAAAAATTAACTTCTAATTTTGGACAGCAGCGGTGTCTCATTTTTTGTCACGGCACACATTGTACCCATGTTTCCCTCAGAGGGCCATTGGGACAGTGAAGACAAATGTACGGTCCCTCATAACACTATTAAAAAAAATGTTCAAGGATGAACAAAGAAATGCTCAATATTTGCCTTTGCAGGCCACATAAAATATTTTGAGTGGGATAAGTCATCCAGGCCTTGAGTGTTGACTACTGTGCTATGTATAGGGTAGGTTTTTTTTTTTTTTTGCTTGTGAATATTTCAGACATTTCCTCCAGTTACCTCTTCACGAGAGATCTCAAAGTTTGTATAGTAAGCAAATGTTGAGCATTTGCAGCTAGTACAGCAGTCAAAATGTGTCTAATTTGATGTATGGTGATTTGTGCTACATGGCGCAGAGCTGAGTCACTGGTCCATGTTTGAGGAAAGGGGGGGGGGGGTTGTTCTACAAGTGTTTGAATAACTGCCAGAGTCACTGACTAAATCATCCACATTGATTCATTAAGTGATGACTTCCTCTTCCTTTGCAGGCCATGCATGATGATTCACCAAATGAGGATTTCACTACTTATGCATAATTTGCAGCCAATCAAAAGGACTCATTTCTTTGACATTGTATTAACACCCAACGTCGAGGACAATCAATGTCACCCACCGCTAATGGTTCATTCACATCAACGAACCTTCAAGTCAATATGAAAAAGCACAAAATGTTGAGCATTTAGTTTATTTTACTGTGGACCTACAAGGGTCTGTTGAATGGCCTGGGAGGCAGCACTGGATGTTTTCTGGGTTTCTTCCGCATCTTCTATTTTTTCTCGAATATCAGGCAGAAGCTGCTTGAGTTCTTCCATCTCAGTCGTGGCCTCTTTTCCCCCATCGGTGCCCTCTGCTGCATCAATCAAGTCCTGCAACATGGCTAAACCAAGACTAGGATCAGCACTAACACTCTTGTGTTCAACTCCCGATCAGTTATTTGACCTTGATGTGTGAAATGTTTGCGCACGCGCGCACACACACACACGTGCGCGCGCGCACACACACACACACACACACACACACACACACACACACACACACACACAAACTATGGGCTTACCCAGGCGGGTCTCGATCACTTTTATGGAGCTATTGTAGTGCTGAATGGCCTGGCTGTACTGATCCATGTAGCACAGTGTTGTGGCAACATGGTAATGGGTCTCAGCCAGCAGACGACTGTGAGGAGGAAGATACTTGAGCTGCAGGGCCAAACACTCTTGGAAGTCTTCTAGTGCCTGAGGATAGTTGCCTTTGGGACAAAGCACAAAGTCAACACAAAACCGTTGTGTGTACACAGACAGACAGACACACACACAAACACACAGCAACAAAGTCCCCATCTCAACGCCCAAATATAATTAATTATATCTATAGCTAATTGAGCATGTTCCACACCCTTAAAACTGTGGCACTGTAAAATATTCGTAACCACAAGACGAAAGTTCGAGTGCCATGTAATATAGTGAACTCCCGTTACACTGAAGATTTTTCAGCAACTGTTCTGCGTTTACACTACTAGCAAATCCAAATTTAGAGTGGCATGGCTTTGGTGTACAACATGCCAGACAGCGAATGCCATTTTTATATTTTTGTTCCCACAGAGCAATGAATATGCCTATCAAATATTGTTGCCACAAGCTTGAAGCTAGTACGCTTATTGGAGAGCTGTGCGAGTGGTTACAAGCAACAAGGAAGACTTCAAAATGTCGAGTTTTAGTGTGTTTTATAGCATGGCAAGTGTAAAACTATTTATTTAAAATTAATTCTCTATTTCACAGGTGCATCTGGAAGTCATTCCCACGATGTAGGTGTTCACTGTCGATGGAGAAATATTGTACATATAAATACTCTATTTAACAGTCATTGGCAAGTAGCAGCCCGCGGGCCATAATTGGCCTGTCGACAATTCCATCTGGTGCCCCCCAAAAATATATAATAATTAGGGATGCCACAATATATATCTTCAGGTTCTAGTTTGTATAATAATGAACCATACTGCTTAAAATGTAATTTGATGTGGCTATACATTTTTCTTTGCAGCAAGACTATCGCGCGCCACTTGTGTGGTCTATTCAGTGGAACGGCAGTTGTAAAATACATTTAACATGAACAACTTAACTGCAGCGACTTCTCAAAACATTTTCAAATCAAAAGTATGCCGCACTAACACGCCCCAATTCAAACATCAGACAACGGCACACAAATGTATTCAAACACACCCGTTTCTGCACCAACTTCTCCAAGTTTCAAAAAGGCCTGGGCTGCCATGAGCTGGTCTTCTTTGCTTTCCTTTCTGAAGCCATTTAGACAAAAGTTACATTAACATACCACCTACAAATGGCGCATCCATGTCATATCTTGCCCTCACCTCTTATAGATGACCTTTGCCACCTCAAGCATTTCCCAAGCCAATTGCAGATTTCCAACTTCATCCTCCTCCTGACCGTGTGGGATACATCAAGAAATTGTTACAAATCAACTTGAGTGGTGGCATTTCCAAAATTACCTTGTCACCATTTTTGTCCACTTCCTCATCATCGTCGTCGTCGTCACTGTCATCATCCCCTTCATCTGTAAAAGAAATCATTCAGGTTTGAAGAAACAGCTACAAAATGTGCACAACAAAAACAATGGCCAGAAGTACAGTTTAGATATTTTACAGTTCCCCCATTACCACCAGCTTGTGAATTTTTTTTCTCTTATACAAAACAGCACCCAGAATCGTGCTCCCCCCACATCCCACCATGTAACTAGAAATCGTGCTTTCAAAAAGTCGACTGCCTGCCCTCTGCTTCCTCCTCAGGTTGAGAGTCGCCACTTTCTTCATCTGCCTTGGTCTTCTCACCATTCTGCTCTTCAGGGTCTTCAGTCTTTGCCACACTTTCTTTCTCAGGAGACTCTCCGAGGCTTCCATTCACAACTCCGTTCACTTGGGCGTCCTCACCCAGACTCCTGACCGCGCCATTCAATTGGGAAGCTGAGGGCTTCTCAGAGTCATCCCCAGCTTGTTTGGGTGATGACTTTGAAAAGACGTTTTCCTGCTTCACCCCAGTACTGCTCTCCACATCAGACTCCGGTTTTCTTTCGACCACCTCAAGCTTTGCCTCCATTGCATCATACACCTGCTTTCGTAGCTCGTCGCGAGTGTTTTCTGCACCAGAGTGGTATAGAGGAAATTAATTTGGCTAGTTTTCCTTGGGATTACATTTGCCTGACAACGTACATGGAGCTTCTGATTCCTTTTCATTCTAGCAGAGATGAAAGTGGACTTTTCTGAAAATTCCGGAATAAATAAATAAATGTGTGTGTGTGTGTGTGTGTACCCACACTCGAAATAGGACGGACACGATTTTCTGCCAATCTGTGTTTTTCCCTTTTTGGCCAAATATATTTTTTACAACTGTCTTGTTGACGGCGTCTTTTATTCGTTCCACTGGGGTTTAGCAGGTGTGTTTATAAAGAGACGAAAATTGTTTGGGGACTATCCCCACGTTCTAGTTGAGATGGTATAACCCAAGAGGCAAAATGACGCTTGCTACTGTTGTTGCGAATTGCCATTCGTTCTACTAAACCATTAGTCAAACGCCATCATGCCTTCTGGCGTTATTACACAAACAAAAATCTCTTTACTGTTACTAGTGTTAGTGCCTCAATATGGCTACGCTCGTGAAAGCAATACAACGAACTCAAACGCGTCTTCGTTCAATGTTGTCAACTAATATCCGGATTATGCAAATTTTCCTCAATTCTCCGGAGAAATTTTCATAAAAATTTGAAAAACCCATAATTCCGGGAAAATCCGGAGGACTTTCATCTCTGTTCTAGACTGAGCATGTTAAACATCTGACAAGTTCAAAACCATGTAAAAAGCCTACTAAAACTGATTTACTCAACCATTAGAAGGTATACATTTGATTGTCTGAAACGACTTCAAATCTTTTAGGCCCGTCTGAAGAGCTGTGTAGCGTTCAGGTTTTGCCAAATGCATTTCACGAGAAGCTGACGGTCGCTTACTGGCCATTTTACAATTAAACATAACTACATTAATCATATGTACCCATGCAAGAAAATTCATACCACTGGAGTCCTCTTTCCATTAGTATTGCTAGAGCAGTCAAGGCCAGGTTTCTTCCTCGACAATCATACCATGTTAGTGATTCAATTTTAAAAAAGTATGTGGCACTTTGAAACGTTTTCCGACCCACCCTAACAGCAGGGTCACAGTTGCAGCATATTGTTTATATGTATGAGGGACAACTGCCTGATGTGTGGTGGAGAGTCAGCAACTCTTAAATTTTCCTGTTGAGTCACATTGTGTGTGCAGTGGAAGCAGCATTCTGTGATACATTTTGCAGACGCAAGTATTTCAAAGATGTACTGTAGCTTTGGTCCCCCCTCCCCTTTGTTTTTTGCAACTTCAATGGCTAATCAATTGAAGTCATAATGTGCACGATCAATCAATACATCATTGCAAAATAAGACATTACAGCAAACAACCTCATTCACTGCGGGGGTTACGTTTTGTGTGGCTATAATGTATGTGAGCCCGAACGCTAATGTATTTTAGCCTTGAGTGTTTTGTGCGCGGAAAGCTTTAGCGCTGGAAGAAGTTCTGCCTCTGCGTCCTTGACCATCAAACCCCAAGGTAAAAGCATTAGTGTATTTTTTATGACTCCAAGTCTGAAAATCATTGTATTCATTCATTTAATAAATAAAATACCCTAGCTACTAGAGCTGTCTTGATCAGATCATGCAACTGGAGCTGATAATATTTTCAGCTAATGGGAACAAAAATGTCTTCGTTCATTTTCTGAAATTGTATATGACCAAATAACCCAAGGATATCAACACCTCATCAAATTGAGCAGTTATAGCTTAATTTGATTCTACATCTTTTGTTTTGGGGCGGGCAGAGGGGCAATAAGTGCTACACGTCTTTTTAACTGTATTTTCACCTTTGCTATAATCATGGATGAGTGGATTATATTAAAAATTGATGAGTTCCAGCAGGTTATGTGTTAATTGTTGTCAGATCTGACAGTCAAGGTATGTGGCGGACGGCAACGTAAATCAAAGCAGTACAGATGAGCTTCACTGCACTTTCAAATGTGTGGACCATAATGTCAGGAAGAGGATATTACAGGTTATATTCGATGTTTATGAGCATTTTTTTGGGAGGGAGGGGTTAATTTTGTAATTTTCCCACAATGAATTTTGGGGGTAGAGTAAACAAAAGTTGTTTCAAAGATTTCGTCTTCATCTTCTGATTAAATCTGTGTTAAGAGAATCATTTTTCATACCTGATTGACCCCCAACACCCTGATCACAAAGACTACTACAGTCCACTCCACAAGTATTGGGATGGCGAGGTGAATCCTTTACTTTTGGTATATTCTGAAGACATTTGGGTTCCAGATGACTATGAGACAGAAGTTAAGCTTTTTACATCACAATGTGTTAAAAGAACTAAGAGCACCTTTTGTGTGATGCCACCCACTTAAAAAGTGAGCAAAAGTGGAACAGACATCAGAGTAACTTAAAGTGACTAACATTTAATATTTGGCGGTATAAACATCTTTGCTAGTATGAGACCTACACTTTGCCTCTGATGAAGTCTTTTGGTGTGTTGGCAGTTTGTTTTGGGTTAGGTTGTTCTTGTTGCATGATGAAGCTTCTCCCGATTTGTTTGGATGCATTTTTTTCCTGTAAATTGTATATCAAAATGGTTTCGTAGAGTCCAGAATTAATTCTGCTATGAACCATCAAGGGTTAACATTATCAATAAAGACTAGTGAGGCTGTTCCAGAAGCAACCGTGTGAGCCATGACATTACCTCCACAGCTGAGTTTATGTGTGTTGGATCATAAGCAGATCTTCTTTCTCCATACTTTGGCCTTTACACCATTTGGTAAATAAAAACTGTTCCAAAACTTGAGTGACTTATCTCTGTACTGCTTTGCAAAATCCAGTCGTGTCTTCTGATTCTTTTTGCTTACGAGTGGTTGGCGTTTTGCGGTATGGCCTGTCTATTTCTTCTTTCAAAATCTTCAAACATATGATTGTGACACCTTCACCAATGCCATGTGGAAGTTGGCAGTGATGTTACTGAGTTGACTGGCATTTCCTCCAAGCTCTCACGAGGTTTGTCATCAACTGCTGTTGATACCCTTGGCCGACGTATTCAAGGTCTGTTGCTCAGCACGCCAGTAGTTACAATTTCCAGGAGAGTCAAAATTGCTATGTTGGCTATGTCCGATGTCTGTGCAATAGCTCTCACTGATTTTCCCTCCGCTTCAAAATTGTTTGCTTTTCTCCCATAGACAGGACTCTAGGTTGCTGAACAAGTTTTTTTTTTTTTTAAACAGGCGAAACCCCCAAAACAAGCACTCGCTAATGTTTACGCAATAAATTTAAAAAGGCAACATCTGAGCAACTCGACACACCCATCTGTCCAAGTGGGTGGTTCAAACAAAAAGATGCCCTGTGCTGAGGTTGTTCAACGCATCTACATGTAAATACCATGAAATTAAACCTGAAATTCTGAATGTTGTCTCATATTAATCTTTTGATCTGAAACCCAAACATCTTTAGTATACAACCATGCCGTTACAATTCTTTTGGAGGGGGCTCTATATAAACTTAAGCAGGGGTCAAATCCACTCCTGAGTGAGAAAGTCATTTAAGCATGCCTGAATACTTTTGACTGTCGTCTCGGCAAGATCCTTACCATCGAGGTTATTTGCACTCTCAATATTTGAGTTACTGGGATGCTCATCTTCAGATTCCTCTGGGACTCCTTCCAGGGCATTTCCAAGGACTGTGTTCTCCATCCTATAACACACAAAAATATAAGAAACAGATTCATCAGTGCTTGTTTCACGATTAATGCTAACAGTTTTAGTTTTTCCAGCATGGCAGAATTGATCGGACAACACTGTAAATAATATTTCATTTTGGTTACCTGGCAAGCTCTAGCAGGGACTTCCCACACAGGAAAAAGGCCTCGCCACATTCATCTGCAGTGTCTCCATACTTGGCAGCTCTGACATGCACACAGAAGTAACAGTGAACTCCTGCTCTATCGCAGTTAATCATATGTGCCCCTGCCATCTTGCTGATTTATGGTTTTTCCAAGTAGATAGGCAAGTCTGAATTTAAGAGTTACACACCAGTGTAGTACCACAACCTTTTGGGCAGCACTATGGTACTACTGTACAGGTGTCAAACTTTGGTCAGGTGTCAACTGCTATACCGCACGTTTTAGATGTTTCTTTGCTCCAACACCTGATTCAAATGATCAGAATTGTTATCAGGGTCCTGCAGAGTTTGCTGATAACGGCACTCAGGAACCAGAGTTTTCCACCTGTGGCCCACTGGGAAATGTGCACGAAAATTGGAGCCTTAAAGGGATGCCCCTTCAGTCTAACACAGTAACACGTTTGCCATTTTAACATTTATTTTCCCCATAGAGCTGAGAGAATATGAGTGTATTGTTGTATTCTGTCCATGCCTTTCTGCATCGAGTGTGTAGCATCTGTTTGAAGGTATAACATTAACATCTACGCTAATTCCCATTAGAGGAATTGTGCCTTAAGCTAACATTAAGCTAGACAAAACAGCCGAACATAGTGTTTAAATGTTTCATTGTTTTATTTGTTATAAACTAACGGACTGAAAAAAAAGACGAAAAACACTGTCTGTAATTTGGAAAACATCTGATAGTCATAGCAGAGCTATGCTTTTATCCTTAGGGTTGAATAAATATTGCACACACATGCACTGCTAAGTCATTGGCAACAGACAAAACATTTTTTATATACCTACAAAGTAAATAATGATATCCAAAAGTAAATTATCTGGCCTGGCACCTGTTCAGGAATATCCCAGCTCCTAAACTAGCTCCACCAGATTCCATGGGCATTTTTATATTATAATCTCCCATTAGTTGTTTTTTTCTGAACAGTAAAGGAGGAATATTTAAGAAAGAATGTCTGTTTCAATATGTTTAAGGGTGCAACATTTTTGTATTTAATCCACGTGGGATGGATAAAACAAAATAAAAAGACAAGACTACCAAACAGCAGTTCATTGCAGTACAAAGCGGGTGAAAAACATAGCCTTTTTTTGTCAAAGGCGGTCCTTTCTGACAAGCAACAAAGCAAACAACAGTGTGTAAAGCTACGATTTCCCGATCCATGTGTACTCACAACATGCCGCACGCATCCTGAAAGACACCGACAGCAGCGACAACGTCACCCATCACGAGATGTCTGTTCCCTGTGCCGATGAGCTTCTTTGCCTCCTCCACGACGTCTACAGAACAGCTGCAAAAACATAACACGTGCAGTAGTTAACGGGGAAGTGATCCACAAGGCCCAGTGAGGAGGACGCTCACACTCACCTGTCTGTCGCCGGTGCTGACGACGAGCACGGCTTCTCGTCCACGCTACTGTAAAACACACTTAAGTTCAGGGAGTAAAGTATTCAGTTGATGAGCTAACGCCACTTAACAAATGACGTGGCGTCCATTTGGCTATAAACGTACCTCCTCACGTCATGGCACGGTAGCCAAGCTATGTTGTTAGCTACATGGCTAGATTAAACGGCTCGAAGGTGCATTTGGAAAATGGGTTATTTTAAACATTGCGTATTCCACCAAAAGGTCTACAACCGGAGAAAGAGAATAGCAGCCATGGCTCACCGTGGCTACTTAGCAATTATCAAGCCAGTGGGGGTGTTTCGATCGCACATTCAAATGCCAAATGAGAAGCATTACCTCCCAGAGCTTGACGCGACAGACGTTTCCTCGGGCATCTTTCGGAAGATTGGAGGAAATACAGGACCGGGTATCACAATAAACAAATGCTGGGTGCATGGAAGACACACTCAAATCGTGTGTGGAAGTCTTTGTTGGCGCGCTTAAATAGAGGAAAAACAGTCTTTCTATTTCCGCTCAACTCCGAACGCGGGAGTTTGTCTTTAAAGGGCCGCAACACAGCAAGTGATGCCTTCAGTGGTTATAGGGAAGAAATAATATTCCTCTCTTCGACTCCACATCGTGCACGTTTCAAATAAGCTTGCTTGGCGAAATCACTCGCCCAAGGAGCATCTACAGTCCATCAAGAGTCGATACTAGTTTTCTGGAGCTAATTTGGCGAATTAAAATGTATTTATTGTTTAGTGATTTGTTTTATTGATTTGGTTAACTAATTTATTGTAAATGATCAAACAAAGCGAAAAAAATACATATATATTTAATATGTTTAGATTTTATTGCATACATAAACGATATATTTAGTTGTCATTCAAATAAAATATTTTACAAACACATTTTTATCCTCATCTAAACGACGATCCGTTTTAAAAGTCCAATGTACTCAGTGAACACAAACGTGTGCTGCATTCAATGTCGGAAGTAAATCAGAAACATCACACTCAGAATGTCCCAGTTCCGAAGCTCAAAGCGTTCAAGGCGAATGTCACCAAAGATGGCCGACTCCGTTGTTCTGGTTCATCATGATTTTTAGCCCCAGAAAACGATTTCCTTAATTTATATGAATAAATAGAACGTGTTATCCTCAAAGCATGTCTTTAATTTCACCAAATAACTTAATGCAGGGAGATAACAGCTATTCTTCAGTCAGTCCAAATCAGGTCGTTACGTGAAGCTATGTCAAATAACTATGTTAATGTAATACACGAATACATGTTTATAATAACTCGGAGTCCTTTTTTCTTCTGATTTCATTTCACAACTAGGACCTCCCAATTCAAAAGGGTGTTCTTGTGCACTTTTCCTTGTCGGAGTCGGAAGTCCGACTTCACACCTTCCTGTAATGCATCATCATCCCTCATCCCTGCTCATGAAGACAAGTTCGCCGATGGCAGATTTGGGTTCAAGAGACAGGACTGAGGTAATGGGGGTAAATAATGAAGTCCAAGATGGCGCCCGAGTAGGCAGCCATCTGCAAGTGCTCTCATGAGCCTTGCTTTTTTTTGTTGTTTTTCTGTTTGTTATGTCACTTTGTGTTTGTTGTTACGTCGTGTGGACCTGATGTGGACTGTTTTCAGCATTTTTTTGGCCACGACATTCATCAAGGAGGAGACTCGGTGCTTGGTGGTTTTGCCTTCTCGGCAGCATGGGTATGCCAGCACTGTTTTTGATTGGGAGGAATGTCGGCGCCATTTGACTGTCGTTGTTGGACAGCTCTGGGGGCACTTGTGTCTTGCGCCTGTAATGGGCAGCATTTTCACAGCCCCGCTTTGTTCAGCGGAGAGATCGGTGCTGTTGAACGGTCTGCGGCTGGATGGATGCAAGGCTTGAGGAGCCGACGATGAGAAGAAAGGAGCGTTAGCGCAGAGCGCC